GGGTGGTTCTTATCCTCTGAGCTCGGGTCCTCTACCAGAGGCCTGGGAGCTTGAGGGTCCTGCAATATCTTGGCTGTGCCAAGGACTGCACATTTCTGGACTGAGATGTCTGATGTTGTTTCCTGGGATCTGTTGTAGCCACTGCTCCAGTTTGGGGGTTACTGCCCCGAGGGCCCCGATGACCACAGGCACCACTGTGGTCTTCACCTTCCAGGCCCTCTCCAGTTCTTCCCTGAGGCCCTGGTATTTCTCCAGTTTCTCGTGCTCCTTTTTCCTGATGTTGCAGTCGCTTGGTATTGCTACATCTACCACAACGGCTTTCCTCTGATGTTTATCCACTACAACAATGTCTGGTTGGTTCACCATTACCATTCTGTCTGTCTGGATCTGGAAGTCCCACAGGATCTTAGCTCTGGCGTTCTCCACCACCTTTGGGGGTGTTTCCCACTTTGATCTCGGGGTTTCCAGTCCATATTCTGCACAGATGTTTCTGTACACTATGCCTGCCACTTGGTTATGTCGTTCCATGTACGCTTTCCCTGCCAGTATCTTGCACCCTGCTGTGATGTGCTGGACTGTCTCAGGGGCCTCCTTGCACAACCTACACCTTGGGTCTTGTCTGGTGTGGTAGATCTGGGCCTCTATTGCTCTGGTGTTTAGGGCCTGTTTCCTGGGCGGCCAGGATGAGGGCCTCTGTGCTGACCTTGAGTCCAGCTTTTTCCAGCCACTGGTAGGATTTACTGATATCAGCCACTTGGGTTATTTGCTGGTGGTACATCCCATGTAGGGGTTTGTCCTCCCATGATGGTATCTCTGGCACCTCAACCTCCGTTCCCTGTTGTCTGAGACATTCACTGAGCACATTGTCTGTGGAGGCTTTGTCCCTGATGTATTTATGGATCTTAGTTGTTTCGTCCTGGACAGTGGTTCTCACACTCACTAGTCCTCTGCCTCCGTCCTTGCGGCTCGTGTACAGTCTCAGGGTGCTGGATTTGGGGTGGAACCCTCCATGAATTGTTAGTAGCTTTCTAGTCTTAATATCTGTGGCTTTTATCTCCTCCTTTGGCCAGCTAATTATTCCAGCAGGGTATCTGATTACTGGCAGGGCATAGCTGTTTATCACACGGATTTTGTTCTTGCCATTGAGCTGGCTTCTCAGGACTTGCCTTATTCGTTGGAGGTATTTAGCTGTGGCTCCTTTCCTTGTGGCCTCATCGAGGTTGCCATTTGCTTGTGGTATACCTAGGTACTTGTAACTGTCCTCTATGTCTGCTATTGTTCCTTCTGGGAGTGAGACCCCTTCTGTATGGATGACATTCCCCCTCTTTGTGATCAGCCGACCACACTTCTCTAGTCCGAATGACATCCCAATGTCCGTGCTGTAGATCCTGGTGGTGTGGATCAGTGAGTCGATGTCTCGCTCACTCTTGGCATACAGCTTGATGTCATCCATGTAGAGGAGGTGACTGATGTTGGCCCCATTTTTGAGTCTGTATCCGTAGCCAGTCTTGTTGATAATTTGGCTGAGGGGGTTCAGGCCTATGCAGAACAGTAGCGGGGACAGAGCATCTCCTTGGTATATGCCACATTTGATGGACACTTGTGCAAGTGGTTTGCAGTTGGCTTCAAGGGTGGTTTTCCACAGCCTCATCGAGTTTGCAATGAAGGCTCTCAGAATCCTGTTGATGTTATACATCTCTAGGCATTCAATGATCCAAGTATGCGGCATTGAGTCATAGGCTTTCTTGTAATCAATCCAAGCCATGCACAGGTTGGTGTGTCGGGTTTTGCAGTCTCTGGCAACCGTGTGGTCTATGAGGAGTTGGTGTTTGGCTCCTCTGCTATTTACACCGATACCCTTCTGTGCCGTGCTCATGTGTTTATCCATGTGTTTGCTTATCTTGGCCACTATGATGCCTGACATGAGCTTCCAGGTTGTGGAGAGGCAGGTTATTGGTCGGTAGTTGGGTGGGACTGGACCCTTTGATGGGTCCTTCTGGATCAAGATTGTCCGCCCTTCAGTTAACCATTCAGGGTGAGTCCCACTTTGTAGCAGCTGGTTCATTTGGGCTGCCAGTCGCTCATGGAGAGCAGTGAGTTTCTTAGCCAGAAGGCATGGATCATGTCAGGCCCTGGTGCTGTCCAGTTTTTCATATCTGAGACTCTTTCTTGGACATCTGTCACAGTGATGGTTACCGGGACTTGCTCAGGAGGTTGCTATACATATATGTATATGCATGTATGTATACACTGCCTGGCCAAAATAAAATTCGCCACCCAAAAATGGTCACACTCTCTAATATTTAGTTGGACCGCCTTTAGCTTTGTCCGCATTTGCTGTGGTATTGTTTCAATAACCTTCTGCAGTGTCACAAGATTTATTTCCATCCAGTGTTGCATTAATTTTTCAGCAAGATCTTGTATTGATGATGGGAGAGTCTGACCACTGTACAAAGCCTTCTCCAGTACATCCCAAAGATTCTCAATGGGGTTAAGGTCTGGACTCTGGTGGCCAATCCATGTGTGAAAAAGATGTCTCATCCTCCCTGAACCACTCTTTCACAATTTGAGCCCGATGAATCCTGGCATTGTCATCTTGGAATATGCCCATTCCATTTGGGAAGAAAAAAATCCATTAATGGAATAACCTGGTCATTCAGTATATTCAGGTAGTCAGCTGACCTCATTCTATGGGCCCACAATGTTGCTGAACTAGACCTGACCAACTGCAGCAACCCCAGATCATAGCACTGCCCCCACAGGCTTGTACAGTAGGAATTAGGCATGATGGGTGCATCACTTCACCCGCCTCTCTTCTTACCCATCACTCTGGAACAGGATAAATCTGGACTCATCAGACCACATGACCCTCTTCCATTCCTCCAGAGTCCAATCTTTATGCTCCCTAGCAAATTTAAGCTTTTTTTTCTACTTAGCCTTACTGATTAGAGGTTTTCTTACGGCTACACAGCTGTTCAATCCCAACTCCTTGAGTTCCCTTCGCATTGTGTGTGTGGAAATGCTTTTGCGTTCACAATTAAACATACTCCTGAATTCTGTCGTTGTTTTTCTTCTATTTAATTTGACCAAACGTTTAAGTAATCGCCGATCACGATTATTCAGGATTTCTTTCCGACCACATTTCTTTCTGGACAACGATGGTTCCCCACCACCCTTCCAGTTTTTAATGATGCGTTGGACAGTTCCTAACCCAATTCTAGTGGTTTCTGCAATCTCTTTAGATGTTTTCTCTGCTTGGTGCATGCCAATGATTTGACCCTTCTTGGACAGACTAACGTCTTTTCCACGACCACAAGATGTCTTTTGCCATGGTTGTTTAAGAAATGAAGAGTTACTCATTGCATCAGCTGTGGTTAAATAACTTGTTGTCAGCTGAAAGATAATTGCCTATGGAGTAATTATCCAATATGATTCTTGTACCTATTTGCTATATATATATATATATATATATATATATATATATATATATATATATATATATAGCTGACTGGATAGCTCAATACATAAGGCATCAGTATATCACCCGAGAGGGCAGGGTTCGAATCCAGTCTGGGTCCTTAGGCAAGACCCTTCAAGCTACTGCCTACCTCATACCATGAGAGATACTAAGTTGCATAACATGCCGGCTCAGACGTCGCCCGGCCAAACAAGGTCTGCGTCAGGTGTTGGGGAACCAGAGCACCTTGATGACAAATGGGCTACTGGAACAAGACGGAAATGGGCGAGAGATGAAAATGTGGATCTGTTGGAATGCTACTACTCAAGTAACCCTAGTGAGAGAGGTTACATGCAAAGACTGGGGAAGGAATGGTTACTTCGACATCCCCAGTCAACACTAAGCGCTAAACAACTAGTAGCTCAGTGTTCCAACATCCGCAAACGGCAACTGCTATCACAACTTGAGATTGACGAGATACAACACAATGCTACGGCAAAAGGGAGGAACCCGGATGTCAGGACTGTGGGGACTTAACTACAAGTCCCCACCCAGTGAGGGGATACACGGCCCCAATGAGCGAAACAGAGCTGAACGAGACAGCTGCTGACCTGAGAGAGAGAATCATGACCCGAATGACAACCAGGCCTCCTCGGCGCCAATTACAACGGCTGAGTGAAGTACCATCAGAAAGTCTCATTGAGAATGTGAATGCAGCATTGAGAACGATCCCTACCAACACCATAACAGAAACCAATGAGCTGATCTACAACTCAGCATCAGTGATCCTTGAGATACTTGGCTATAAGAGCAACCATGAGACCCAATACCCACCATGGAAAAGACGGTTAGAGGCTAAAATCAAGGTAACAAGGAGGGAAGTGAGCCAACTGTCAGAGCTCCACAAGGGTACAATGAAAAGACCAGTACCCAGAAAGTACAGCCAGATGCCCATACCTGAAGCACTCGAGACTGCCAAACAGAGGCTCCAAGCCTTGGCCAGCCGCCTAAGAGATACACAAGGGAGAATGAATCCAGAAGGATTAACCGGCTCTTCTCCACTCAACCAGCTAAGGTGTACTCTCAATGGCAGGGTAATAACAACAGAGCAGACCCACCAAGGCTGGAGACTGAACAATACTGGAAAGGCATATGGGAAAGGGAGGCGTCCCACAACAGCAATGCACAGTGGCTGATCTCTCTACGAGAGGACCACAGCAACCTCCCTGAGCAAGCCCGGTAACCATCACTGTGACAGATGTTCAAGAAAGAGTCTCAGGTATGAAAAACTGGACAGCACCAGGGCCTGACATGATCCATGCCTACTGGCTAAAGAAACTCACTGCTCTCCATGAGCGACTGGCAGCCCAAATGAACCAGCTGCTACAAAGTGGGACTCACCCTGAATGGTTAACTGAAGGGCGGACAATCCTAATCCAGAAGGATCCATCAAAGGGTCCAGTCCCACCCAACTACCGACCAATAACCTGCCTCTCCACAACCTGGAAGCTCATGTCAGGCATCATAGCGGCCAAGATAAGCAAACACATGGATAAACACATGAGCACGGCACAGAAGGGTATCGGTGTAAATACCAGAGGAGCCAAACACCAACTCCTTGTAGACCGCACAGTTGCCCGAGACTGCAAAACCCGACACACCAACCTGTGCATGGCTTGGATCGATTACAAGAAAGCCTATGACTCAATGCCGCATACTTGGATCATTGAATGCCTAGAGATGTATAACATCAACAGGATTCTGAGAGCCTTCATTGCAAACTCGATGAGGCTGTGGAAAACCACCCTTGAAGCCAACTGCAAACCACTTGCACAAGTGTCCATCAAATGTGGCATATACCAAGGAGATGCCCTGTCCCCGCTACTGTTCTGCATAGGCCTGAACCCCCTCAGCCAAATTATCAACAAGACTGGCTACGGATACCGACTCAAAAATGGGGCCAACATCAGTCACCTCCTCTACATGGATGACATCAAGCTGTATGCCAAGAGTGAGCGAGACATCGACTCACTGATCCACACCACAGGATCTACAGCACTGACATTGGAATGTCATTCGGACTAGAGAAATGTGGTCGGCTGATCACAAAGAGGGGGAAGGTGATCCACACAGAAGGAGTCTCACTCCCACAAGGAACAATAGCAGACATAGAGGACAGATACAAGTACCTAGGTATACCACAAGCAAATGGCAACCTCGATGAGGCCACAAGGAAAGGAGCCACAGCTAAATACCTCCAACGAATAAGGCAAGTCCTGAGAAGCCAGCTCAATGGCAAGAACAAAATCCGTGCGATAAACAGCTATGCCCTGCCAGTAATCAGATACCCTGCTGGAATAATCAGCTGGCCAAAGGAGGAGATGAAAGCCACAGATATTAAGACTAGAAAGCTACTAACCATGCATGGAGGGTTCCATCCCAAATCCAGCACCCTGAGACTGTACACGAGCCGCAAGGACGGAGGCAGAGGACTAGTGAGTGTGAGAACCACTGTCCAGGACGAAACAACTAAGATCCATAAATACATCAGGGACAAAGCCTCAACAGACAATGTGCTCAGTGAATGTCTCAGACAACAGAGAACGGAGGTTGAGGTGCCAGAGATACCATCATGGGAGGACAAGCCCCTACATGGGATGTACCACCAGCAAATAACCCAAGTGGCTGATATCAGTAAATCCTACCAATGGCTGGAAAAAGCTGGACTCAAGGACAGCACAGAGGCCCTCATCCTGGCCGCCCAGGAACAGGCCCTAAACACCAGAGCAATAGAGGCCCAGATCTACCACACCAGACAAGACCCAAGGTGTAGGTTGTGCAAGGAGGCCCCTGAGACAGTCCAGCACATCACAGCAGGGTGCAAGATACTGGCAGGGAAAGCGTACATGGAACGACATAACAAGTGGCAGGCATAGTGTACAGAAACATCTGTGCAGAATATGGACTGGAAACCCCGAGATCAAAGTGGGAAACACCCCAAAGGTGGTGGAGAACGCCAGAGCTAAGATCCTGTGGGACTTCCAGATCCAGACAGACAAAATGGTAATGGCGAACCAACCAGACATTGTCGTAGTGGATAAACATCAGAGGAAAGCCGTTGTGGTAGATGTAGCAATACCAAGTGATTGCAACATCAGGAAAAAGGAGCACGAGAAACTGGAGAAATACCAGGGCCTCAGGGAAGAACTGGAGAGGGCCTGGAAGGTGAAGACCACAGTGGTGCCTGTGGTCATCGGGGCCCTCGGGGCAGTAACCCCCAAACTGGAGCAGTGGCTACAACAGATCCCAGGAACAACATCAGACATCTCAGTCCAGAAATGTGCGGTCCTTGCACAGCCAAGATACTGCGCAGAACCCTCAAGCTCCCAGGCCTCTGGTAGAGGACCCGAGCTCAGAGGATAAGAACCACCCGCGGTGGGTGAAGGGAATTTTTTTTATATATATATATATATATATATAAAATTCTTTTTCAGCAACAAGCTGCGCATCTCACTCCGTTTCTGTCGCTGCTGACATTGTCGCATAGCAACTGCGGTCAGTCCCCAAGACGCAGAGGAAATAAAATGGCAAAAGAAAATAGTAACAAAGTGATTTCGATAAGTAACTGTAGTCTGACTACCTGATTTGAAATAGAAACGCTTTAAATTACTCATTACTGAAAAAAGTGGTCCAACGTCAGTAACGTGTGACTGACGTCACTGTCTGACATATGTGCGATAAATGATCAATACTGACCTTCCATTTGGTTTTAGTTTATTGGTATTAATGTTTCTGTTTTGTTAGGTAAGCAAGAGGCAAAATGTTCTCTCATTTTTTGTGACACATGGTGAAACCGAACCTATGTCTCCTTCATCAGGAGTTAATCTGAGCAGAGCACTGCAGGCAACATGTCCTCCAACTCCAACATGTCCTCCAACTCCAACATGTCCTCCAACTCCAACATGTCCTCCAACATGTCCTCCAACTCCAACATGTCCTCCAACATGTCCTCCAACTCCAACATGTCCTCCAACATGTCCTCCACCTCCTGAAGTGAAACGTAAGTCCAGGATTTAATATTTCTCCCATTTCTGTCCTCTAGTGATGCTAAAGGCATTGATGGACATACAGATGCAGGATTTCTTCCGTCTGGTTCACTGAGGTCTTTGTTCTTATCTGTCTGAAGATGAAACATGCCTGACGTGTGCAGCAGGTTGGGAGCAACCTGCAGGAAGTTGTTATTATTTGAACAGCAGGAAGTCCTCCTGGTCTGACAGCAGACGTTCCTGCATTGATCAGGGAGGAGACCTGGTGAAGATCAACAGCAGAGAGGAGCAGGTATGAAACACCAGCTGTGTTTCCATTCGCCAGAGATTTGGACACTGAGACACTTTTAAAATAAATTTGCTAAATAAAAACAGGTTTTAAACGTTTTTCATTTCTAGATAAGAAAAATTTGCTTTCGGATAATGTTTTGTTTTGCTGTAACAAAATGTGTTTATTTCACCGGACAAGAAACACTTTGTTTGCATCACATAAGTCACATGATCAACAACCGGATGTTCCCAGTGGAGCAAACCAGGAGGAAGAAACCAGGAAGTAGCTGGAGCATCATGACAGCATGTTTTTAATAACTTATCGTGTGAACAAACTTATTCCTGATTTTAATTTCGTTTCTTACTGAATGGAAAATAACGTAATGAAAATGCAGCAACTGCTGCAGGTTCCTGTTCTTACTGATTCATGTTTCCATATGGCGACTGAAAGACCTCAGTCACTAGTATTCCCTTTAAATTGCTCTTTCCAAAATATGTGCAAAACTTTATTGATATTCTATAAAGTAATCCCATGTGAATAAAATGGTTCACTCAATAAGACTTTAAAAAATGATTATCCTTCTTCCTGTAGGAGGAACAAGGCACGGCATTGTCTTCTTCATCGTTTCCTCCAGTAGTAACATCCTGTTGTTGGTCATGTGATTCATAATAGAAAAAAAGTGATTCTATTGCAGTTTTGCAAAGTAATTTAATTTCCATACACCTGGAAAACCACCTTCTCTCAGCACAGAAGCTTTTTTTTTATCAAAGAACAAGAATTTTCTTTTTAAACTGGCAAGTTTAAAAAGAAACTTTATTTTTGTGCAAATTTATTTTTGTGCTTCCAGTTTGCCAACATGGTCATTGGAAACGCAGCTTTTTCAATCATTTCTTCCGGTGCAGATGTTCCTGGAATCTAAACTGAAGCCAATGGAACCGTTGTGGATCGGACTGACAGACTCACAGGCAGAAGGCAGATGGTTCTGGGCGGATGGGTCACCTCTGGACCCAAGGTCTGGATAAATTTGTTAAATTTTTTTATTAAAGGCTTAAAATCGCATTTCTTTCCTTTAGCTTTGTGTTTTTTCTTTGTTTTAGTTTAACTTTCTGGCTTGATGGAGAACCGAACAACTGGGCCGGACAGAACCTAGCAGGAGAGGACTGCGTGAGGATGGAGAAGAAAGGAAAGAGCGTAGATCTGAAGAGTTGGGATGATCATTCCTGTCGAGTTCAACTCAAAAGTATCTGTGAGAAACCAGCAGAAATTAGATTGTTTTTATCAGGTTCAAAAGTTTAAGATGTTTTCTTCCTGTCTGGACTGAATTAAGATGCAAAAATTCAGATTTAAATTCAGACTTTTAAAGTTCTTTCAGATGATGTGTTATTGCTGATGGGAGATTTATAAATAAACAAAACAGAAAATTAAGTCCTGCTTCTATAAATGTTATTTAACCTTCATTCCTTTAGTAATGTGAACATTATGCTTCAAAATCCAAACAAAACATTTATCATAACTGAACACCAGTATGGAGGAGTGACTGGTGCAAACATGGGAACTGGGTCAGAACAGCTGGTGGTTCTCCGCTGCAACCTGGGATGACTGAGGACATCTAGAGGCCATTACAGGAACTACAGGCTAAACAAACAGGAAAACAAAGGCCTGAATCAGGATCTCCACACCTTTTGTCACATGGTGAAACATTGTGATGGCAGAATGACGATATGTCCAAAAATATATAGTCAAACAATATAGAAATATAGTTGATTTCTAAACTATTTGAAATTTAACCTGCTGAACAATAAACTAAGCATACAATAATAATAATAATAATAATAATGAGGATAGAATATAAATCATTGTATCCCCAATAATGATAAAATACTTTGCACATTTGTCTTATTAAGAGAAAAAGACCCAAACGCTGCTTTTTGGGGAAAATATAGCTAAATAATAAAAAGGGGGGGTCGGCTATAAAAACCAGATTCTAGTCACTTTTTGTCTTAGATTTTGACATTTAGCTTGTTTGATCAATTAAAATAGATTTTGTTGCATTTAATGACTTTTGGATAAAATTTACTGAATAAATGTTTCTAATCACCAGAAAACACAAAGAAAGCAAAAATGTGATTTTAAAAAGAGGACTATTTCATATTGCATTAAACATATTACATTATAAGAACATTTAAATTTGTTTGTAATAGTTAAAAACAAAACGTTTCCATTGGGATGTGCTTGCGGGCCAAAATTGCGTAATTTTTGAATTATAGAACTTTGAGCTACAGGAAAGTGACAAGAAGCTGAACAGATTCAGTGTAGCAGGTAAGAGTTAATTCCCAGCATCCGGCTCCGCTCCACCACAGTGCGGCCTCTGCAGTAAATATGCAACCATTATAGTCAGTCAGAGCATTTACACTGTGTGCATGTGGTGTATATTCTAGCTTTTACTTTAGTGTTTGCAGTGTTTATGACTTAGGATGTTGCAATGTTTGCCATTATCTGATCAATAAGCTGGTAACTAAATCATATTTCCTGTTGGGTAGTTTATAAGCTGGATCATCGTATCTCTGAGTCGAGTCGCTTCCTGTTCCTGTTAGCTCTTCACTTCCACTTCATTTACAGGCTCACGGGTTTGTTTTAAAAGTTCTGTGGCTCTAATGTGCAAATCAACTAGTCACTGCTTTTAGACTTCTAATAGGAAATTTTACAATGTCCTCCTCAACCCTAATTTTCTTTTAGCTTATGTAAATAGTCTTATCGCCTGGTCATCTAATCTCACACAGAACTCTAGAGTCTCATTAAACGGCATAATGGAGACTCTCGACCAATCTGAGGGGCCATCCATACAAATGTAATTGTTCAGTGAAACTGGAACATTTGTGCTGGTTTCCAGCTGCCAGTTTATGGTTTTTGTCTCCCGTAATCAGAGTTTTACACCAGCATCTTGTAAACAAAGTCTTAGAGTGAAATTTTTCAGGAACATTTCCCACAGAGGTGTTAAATACTCTGCTGGTGTAAAGTGCACATGCAGGGTTTGTTCTATGCCTGCACAGGTCGGCAACAGCAAAAACAATGGTGGGTAGCAGGTACTGGGTTGTACTACTTACCACAGCAGTTAAATTTAGCACAAATTCTGATGAGTATAAATATATTGGCTCAGTGCAGATGGACTACTGTTTCCTGAAAGTGGTGTAAACTAAGGGTCAAAAGCGTTTGCGTGTTTTGACTAATTCTAAAATCACAGCGCCATCTAGTGACCTGCCATGACAATTATGGCCAATTTAATGTGTTGTTGTATCAATGTGGAACTTTTGAACAAATATCGAAAAACAACTCCATTTTATGACAGCGGTCTCGTCTAAAAGTAGCCAAAGTGTTACGATCCCGACCCAGAACTTATCAGGATCAAAGCTGTCTGATTTAGTATCAAAGACAGCCCTCTTTTCTTAAAAAGGCAAATGGCTGAAGCTGCTTGTGTTGACTCTAGATCTATAACTCTAGGTTGTTCCGCTTTAGATCCAAAGATAACTTCAGTTTTGTTTCTGGTCAGCTGGAGAAAGTTTTGGCACATCCTCACATTGATCTGTTCTAAACATCTGTTCAGTGATTGGATAGTTTTCCAGTTACCTTGAACATATTTTTACTCAAGTAAAAGTAAAAAGTCAGCGTCCAATAAATTTCTCAATAGTAAAAAAGTATTTGGTCAAAAGTATATTCAAGTACTGAGTAACTGATCAAATCATCAATCATTTAATATTCAGAAATTACAGAATCAGACCAAAATAGAAAGTTACGGGAAAATGTTTGTATTTTAAGAGCAAAAGCGACAATAATAATGACAAATAAAATCAGGCAAAATATTAATATTTTTTTTCCAAATCAGTTTCTTTCAATAAAAATTTCTGAAACTTGAAGAAAAACTCCAGCTGGTTTCTCACAGAAAAGCATCTGTGAGAAACCAGCAGCCCTCCTTAAACCGCTCAGTAATTAGAGCGATACTTTGAAGGTTTAAGAAATTTGCATCTTTGTGAAACTCTCATCACAAACATGCTTTTAAAATTAGAAACTTCTGTACTTTCAAAATCTGATTTAAAAAAAATTCTCTGCTTTTAATTTTAAGGGATTTTTCAGTCATAATTTAATATGTTTGAGATACTTTGTTCAATACGCAATGTTCCATTTATCAAATCCCACAGTGTCACAACAATTTTCTCACAGCACCCTGGAAAACTCAATTTATTCATTTTTTGTTCATAGAAAAAATAAATAAATAAAAACGGGGCCGTGCCAATTACAAAATGAATCATATGATATTTTTGAAGATTGTTTTTAGCAGTAAGAATTAAATGTTCCCCCTCCAAACCAAAAACACACATCCATACTGGCCTGAACCTTCGTTTCAGCTTGGAGCTTCACAGTGACGATGTTCAGCAACAGTCAGTGGAAAACAAGAACAACTGTTGCTGTTACTATGCTGCTAAGAAAATTTATAAAAACAATAAATAAATAGAGAGAGGGAAGGAGAGAAAGGTAAAAGGTCAATTTGTGACCCAGTTTTTGAGTAGACTGTGAGAGATTTCAACCATTTAGCATAGTTAGCTTAGCTACAGACTGTTTGCCTCCATTTCACTGGCATTGAATGAATTAAGGAAATAAATGAACAACATATTGAACCAGTCCCTTTTACCACTAAACAGCAGGTGAGTCGGTCAGCAGCAGCTCCAGTCCCTCCTGTCCTTCCTCTCCTGAGTGAAATTAAAGCTGCAGTCTGTAACTTTTACATAAATATTTTTTTTACATATTTGTTAAATCTGTCATCATGTTATGGCAGTACAGCAGGAGAGATAATCTTTGAAAAATATATCTCCTCTGCCTTCTCCCAGTCAGTGGCAGGAGAGTGTTAGTGCTGTCAATCACAAGCTCATGTTGCTGCTCATCCTTCCTCCCCCTCGCTCTGTGCTGTGCTGCAGGTAGCATAGCCTGTTGTGAATGCTCAGTCTAGGTAGATTAACAGTTTTTCTGTAATTATATGTTGTTTCTCCACTATCAGCACATTTAGCAGTGAGTGATGGTGTTGATTGACCGCACTAAGACCCTCCTACTGGTTCTGATTGGTTATTTTTGGTGAGAATGTTGCATTACTTTAGCCAGTAATAGCAGCTCAGAGAGCAGGTGGAGGAGATTCATTGTTTTCAGATTATCTGTCTCATAACAAACTGTCACAACATGATGACAGCTTTAACAAATATGGAGAAAACATATTTTTTATTAAAGTAATCTACTGCAGCTTGAATAAAATGCAACTACATAGCATTTTGTGAGAAGTCTGGATTGCTTTGTGTATATTTTGCATGTTGCCTATGACTGTTGCTGGTGGGGAGACATTTCAGTCAGTGGCATTAATCTAAAACTCATGGAAACAATTTAAGCAACGTATTTGCAAACTGTAAAATTCACGAGCAGTAAATATTGTGCTAGTTTTCAGTGTTGGAGGCTTTAAAATTGTGACGCTTTTGATGGGTCCGATAGACTCAACAGCAGCTGCCCCCTAATCTTTTGTCAGGGGGGCAGGACTCCTGGCAGTGCTCCTGCCTGTTACCAGTGTTTTTGTCATGAACAACAAAAATGTGATGCAAACCATAAACCAAAAGCCAAGCATGCAATGCAATTTTGTATCAGACATAATATTTCAAAATAGTGAAGAAATTAGAATAATGAAACCCTTTTTGCTTTTCTTTTGTTTTGTTTGTCCATGAAGGGGCAAAACAAATAACAGGTGGTGCACCAGCTCCCCACTTGTAGAGAAAGAGGGCTAATTTCACCTACCCCTCCCCCCAGCGTTGCCTGTTGCTGTCTTCTTTCTGTTCTGTCTAGGCTAGACTGCCCTGACACCTCTGCACCACCAGAGGGGATTATTCTGCCCTTATTGTCTGGTGATGTTCCTGCTCTGAACCATCCAGTTCAGAACTCTGGACCTGGAGCTCCTCCTGGACTTCAGTTAGCGGGCTTTATGGTTCCTCTGCTGCACCCCACTGACTCCAGTGAAATCACATTTCTCCTTTAAACATTAGCCTCACTGTGTGGGAGGCTTTTTCGGTGACTTGCTAAGGTCTGGTCCACAGAGACTCTGACCACTTCCTTTTGATGACCCTGAGTCGAACCCAGTTCCCTTCAGGCATCACCTCTATGATGCCTGAGCCTCTTATTGTTTTGACCACAGTCTTGAGAATACTGCAACCGAGGTTTGACCTTCACCAAAATATACTTTGTGAGTCAAGTTCTACTTGTCACCTGAAACTCCTGGTAGTTTGCTCAAGGGTCCTGGGAAGGTCCTTCCAGTTTGGAGCTTGTGAGAAGTGAAACCTGTGGCCTGGTTGACAAAACACCTAATAGACATCAATTAAATTTGGTCTGTGCACAGATTTTGTCCTGTCTTTTGGTAGGCCAGACTCTGGCCATCCAGAGTAAGCATCCACACACATCAGCACATACCTGCATCCTCTCACTGGGGTTGCCATGTCTGTCAAATCTATAAAGATCTCCTTTCCTGGTTTTGTCAGTTCAAGTCATTCATTGGTGCAATGCTTCTACCTGCTTTTAGAATCATAGCCCTCATTAGCTATGGCAGCCTGTGAGGTACATACAAAAAACCCCAAAACATTACAAAGTGCAATTAAAATACCATTAAACAAACAAAATATAAACCACCAGCAAAACTAATCAAAACAGACAAACATTCATAAACAATCTGCAACATTATTAATTTAGAAAATTTTCTTTGAATAATTTACTTTAAATAGTCTACAAATATAAATGACTTAGAGTATCTATTTGATATAACTCATTTTCCATTACAAAGAAAATAATGAGGAAGGGGACAAGTGAAGACTCCTCCTCTTCCTCAAGTTAACCAGGAAGTTTCTTTAACATAAAGTTATGAACCATAACGCTGAAACAGACAGAAGAACTGAAAAGTCTGCAGAGCAGGAAAGTTGGAGGTGAGTTTAATCGATTATTTACTGAATAAATAATTCCAAAGATACTAATTTTGTCTTTTGTCTGGATTGTTGTGCTTGACTATTTCAGATGTTAAGATTTTTATCTTTTTTTTTTTTACTGTAAATTACTACAGGAGAAAAGAGAAAAAAAAACTAGAGTCAAAGCTGCAAAAGGAAAGTAAAGTTCTGGTTGTTTGTGTCTTCAGTTTCCTCATCATGAGACACTCACAGAGATACACAGAAGGTAAGAATATTAATGAGAAAGTTAACCAGCATTTGTTATCCGAACTGGAAGAAAACAGCCAGAAACAAATTTTAAAAATACAATATATCTGCTTAGGTTATTAAACAGTCATGACTTCAAAAACTATGAAGAAAACAAATTCAAGAATCAAAAAATGGGGAAGCCACATAGAGGAAGAGATATTTCTGATGACCTGAACTAAAAAGTTTCTCTTTTTCTTGTTAGATGTTTAGGTTCTTCCAGTTTGTAGATTCAAGAATTTAACAGTTCACTTCAGGTTACTTACAGCAATGCTTCACAAACAGCTGTTTCTGCGCTCAGTTTACCAGATTATTACATGTTGATCCACTGACCCAATGGCTCTGTGGTTCCGTTCTTGATAAGGTTTGACAGTTTGTCCTCAGAAGAGGTAAGATCAGAATAATCCTAAAGATACTAATCAAACAACAAAGTGATTGTTTGACAGGACTGGAGGAGAACATATACATGGTTGATCATTACTGGTCTAAGTACAAAGAAACCACAGGAAGTCACTAAGACCAAAACTATGAGTTGCACAGGAAGAAGTTGAGGCTGAACATGATGTGTATTGGTGGAAAGTAAAGTCTGAATTAGAACGCTCTGTAATTAGAAATGTCCATCTCTTCTCTCATGGCTTCGTTCATCTCCAGCTGTTGGGGGCAAGGGTCATCTTTATTTTATGACTTTTAGCCCATGAAATAAAGAACTGACATAGTTTACAAAAGCTTCATTATCCATCATTGATGGCTACTGTAAGAGTACCATAACCCACTGATCCAACTGTTCCAGAGATTTTATGGAAAACAGTTTCTGTTGCAACATGTCAGTTTCCTGCAGCACATGATGTTTTCTAGTGTTTCTGTGAGTCTGCCTCCAGGTTCTGATCCGGTTCTGATCCAGGTTCTGATCCGGTTCTGCTCTAAATGCTCCTCAGGTGAAAACCCAAGCAGAACCTGCAGGATGTCAGCAGAGAGAGTAGTTCTGCTGGTTCTGGTCGGTCTGCTGGCTGCTGCTCTCATCGTCATCTATAGACTCTGTGAGTTCATGTTGGTTGAATCTTTCACTGAATTTTAATTTATAAACTCATAAACCAACACCAGATTCAAGTTTGACTAAATATCAAATAACTTTAGAATTTTTTGAATCAGCTTTTGCTGTTTTGATGACGAACCAAACCGTCCAAACCCTGAAAGAGGAAAATGAGGCTCTGCAGAGAAATCAAGCAGGTGAGACTGTCAGAGTTTAAGGTTTCCTCAAAGTTCAGACTGAAACTTGTTCCAATAAATGATCAATACTGACCTCCCATCTGGTGAACTCTGAAATTTGATCTGTTCTTGGTTTAACTGGGTTTTAATGTCATCAATTGCAAACAGAAATTTGAATATAAAACATGAAAAGGTTGTCTTAATTTCTAGACTTATTTATGGGTTGTACAGTTGCTTGTAAAAGTATTGATGCCTTTTGGATTAAGGGAAGTTTGAACTTTTCATCACAAGAACTCTGATTTTTAAACTCATTCAGACTAACTATTCTCTCATCTAAAACTAGCGTTTGACAGGATTCACACCAATCAGACTTTCCAAAGCCTGAAACAGGAGAATGAAGCTCTGAGGAGAAATCTGTCAGGTGAGACAGTCAGGGCTGGAAAATGTTCACCGAGCTCAGAGCCGACAGCTGGCTTTAATCTGAGACTGTTTGTGAATCAAGCTAATAATTTCAGCAACATTCTCCACAGGATGTTGATTTACTGTGACTTTTCTATGAAGAAATGTTGTCATTTTTTCTTTGAAACAAGGTAAATGTCCCCCAGCTCCAGCTCCTTCAACATGTCAACCAGCTCCTGCGTTTCCTCCTCCAACTGCAGTAAATATGAGTAAGTCACACAACCACAGGAATAGCAACAACATCTTCCTTCTGAATCAATGAGGTTTTTATTTTTATTTTGTGAACAGAAATCTCATGTCTGAAATGTGGCCCAGGCTGGGAGCTAAACCACAACAAGTGTTATTATTTCTCCACCACTAAATCCTCCTGGAATGACAGCAGACGCTCCTGCATTAATCTGGGATCAGACCTGGTGAAGATCGACAGCAGAGAGGAGCAGGTATGAAACTCTGCTGCAGGTTCAGCTTCTCTATGATTTCATCTCAGCTCCACCACTGACTTAGTTTGTTTCTTCTGTTCAGGCATTTCTGGTGAGAAGAGTGGCCGACATGATGGCGTACAATAATGACATGTTCTGGATCGGACTGACGGACTCAGATGTTGAAGACCGATGGTCGTGGATGGATGGATCACCTCTGGAGGAAAGGTGTGACTGATGTGGGAAGATCGTAGATTTTTCGCAATTAATGCTGTTTATTATCACACCTGTTCCTGATCTTCATCTTTTAGTTTCAATTTTTGGAGTTACACACCTGATGACTGGAAAGGTTCTCGTCAACAACATCCAGAGGGAGAAGACTGCGCAACAATGGGGACAAAAGGAGAACCTGAAAAACAGAAATGTTGGGCTGATGTTTTCTGTTTTCTTCCTCAAAACAGTATTTGTGAGAAAACTCCAGAAACAGGTCAAACATTTTGTGTGTGAGGTTCAGTCCAGGCTACAAAACAACCAGTGAAAGATCTAGAAGCTGAAAAGATGTAGTTAAGTTACAATATGTCAGGTTCATTTACATTTCCCTCCTAGATTAACTCAAACATAATTACTTTTCTGCTTTTTAACTTTTTTCTCAGTTCTCATCATATTTCCAATGATGCAAAAATAAAACAATTTAATATTGAGACAGTAATTTGATGGTGAGATTAAACAATTTGTTTACATGACTAATGAAGAACAATGTTCAAAATGTGTATCACTGTAAGTATGAAAGATGGTTTTAGAAAGCAGCATGTTTTTGATGCAAAGAAAATTATTTTTTATAGAAATTTCACCATGTTTGTTTTGTTGACCTTCCTGTTTATATTTAATATTTTAAACTCACAAATAAAGTATTTTTATTTCGTTTTGAGTTACAATCTTGCCTGGTAAATTCTGTACAATTTATTAGAAATGTCACCAGAATTAAATGTGCTTTTATTTGTAATTTTGCACCATGTTTTTGTTTTGTTGCTAATATTTGTAATTTCAGATTAATTTACTTCCTGATTCGGCATTTTTTTGTCGTCAATGTTTTCTTCTTCTGTCCATTCATTCATAACTGCAGAGTGATGGGGGCAGGTGCATATCGCCCTCTAGTGGAGACAGACGGGACACCCTGGACAGGACACCAGTCCATCATAGGACAACACAGAGACACAGGACAGACAACCACACACACTCATACATGACTTAAAGATGTCCTGTAAACTAAACTTGTCATGTCCTTTAACTGTGGGAGGAAACCAAGAGCACCCAGAGAGAATCCACACATTCACAGGAGACCACATGCAGAAAGACTCCTGGTCAGGATTTGAACCCTGGACTCTCTTGCTCCAAAGCAACAGGATTTATCAGCTGTGCTGCCCCCGATTAAAACAGAAAAATAAAACCATTACAGTGATTTGAACAATCGTTACAACTATGTAAATGACCAAAGCAGTTACAACAAAAAGAGAAAAAAGCCAGATGATAAAATGTTTCTTCAGCAGATTTAAAACGTGATGTTAGGATGTTCATGCTGCTTGTATCAACATCTGTCCTTCCACTTTGATCAACTTCTCTCAAATGTGAGGAATTAAGGGATGAGGTGAAGTTGTAATTCAACGTTTAGTAAAATTAGAAAAGGACTCTAGAAAAATTACTACATTTTCAGATAGAAGTTTTGCTTATAATATCTAAGAAATATTCTCCCAAAAACTCTGACTAATTTGTTTTATAATTATTAATTGTTTTTTTCTGGTTTGTCATTTTTCTTAGATTCCTTTATTTTGTATTATCAATATCTTTTTAATTAAACTGATCCTGTGAGTTTCTCATTATGAACTCTTTATACGTTATATCTTGTAACACTTGTGATGTGCTGCCCTTTAAGGTTAAACCTGTTTCTTCTATATTTGTGCTCAATAGAGAAGAAAAAACAGGTGAGCTGTGAGAACGGAGGACACCTAGTGGCTGTTACAGGAACTACAAATCAGCAGAAAATTTCCCTTCTTCCTTCATGTGATCATCCTGTTGGATCCACCACAGCCTGATGCTAAATGTTCCTGTCAGAAAGTTGGACTGTAACTGCAGGACAAACCCTGCTGAGTCCACAAGTGTGGAGTTTTATTTGATAAAAGTTTGAATCATGGGGAAGCTGTATTCAGTTGAAGTCTCCTCCTCATCCTCTGACATCAACAGAAAGCTTTTTCAAGTCTTGTAAGACATAAAGTTCCGATTAGTTTCTGCCTGTTCAGCCTGCAGAGGAGCAGCGACACCATTCTGGTGAGTTTTGATTGATTTCTGTCCAACACAGAAAATATGATGAGTTTATTTCACCAAACTTTGTCATTTTATGTGAATCTGCACAGATTTCATCTAAAAATATTGGATTCAAGTATAAGCACAGAAAGTGTGAAAAAAATATATAAATAAACTCACATTTTCTGTGCAGACAATCCACCAGAAGCTTTGATTTTCACAATTATATAAAAACTTAAATTAAACCTGTTTTGTTCCTCCAGCAATTTTTATATGTTGAAAACTTTAAGATAAACTCAAACATATGAACCTTAACTTTTATTGACAATCTGATTTTTCAACTTTGACTTTTGTTTCTGTGTATATTCAACAATTTTATATTCAACAAACATTAGGAGTAAAATACAGCAGAAACTTGAAGAAAAACACAGCAAACATCTGAGATGAAAAGATCTACATTTTTCTTTAAACCTTCAGCTAAAACATGAAAAAGGCTAAAAAGATCAGTCCCAGAAATGTCTCTGTGTTTGTCGTCAGAGTGAAGCTGATGAGACGCCACTGATGATGAGGACGATGAGTGTGGTGGTAAATCAGGAGGAAGGTGATGAAGAAGATGCAGCCGGAGGTGAGTGGTCTTCATCAGATAAACACGCAGACTGAACACAAACCGCTTCTTTCACATCTGAACTGGAGGGAAACTAAACAGCTTAATCTGAAGATAAAGGACGTTTAATGTTTACTGTTAATCCCAGACAGAGAACTGGATGTTAATATTAATAACTGACAAGAATAATCCAGACCTGAAGCCTTAAGAAACAGACGATCAGCCAATAAATGCTGAACATTAATAAAGTCTTCATGTTATTTTCATGTTGGTTCAGCAGATAAACACTGAGCAGGATGAGCTGCAGTGGAGCTAAGAGTGTAGAGCATAATGGCTGCTGGATATTTCCTCTGTTTCAAAGACTTTCAACATGAATCAGAGTCCGTCAGATCTCTGTGGTGACGAAGTGATTTCCTGTTCTTAAAGCTTGTTAGGCCAAATTGGCCCACAGTCCGTCTTCAACACAAGGGGGAGCAAACAACTCAAAAAACCCAAACAGCGGAGCAGTCAGGTGAAAGGTATTTTAATCAAAAGAGTCACAAGTAGTGGCACAATAAAAACTGTTCTTTATAAAATCCAATGTTCCATAAAAAAGTCACCCGTTGAAGGCCACAGGTTGGGCTCCGCTTATTTTCCTGTTCGTGGCGGTGATCTATGTGTAGCGCGCACTACAGCCGGCCGCACAGCGCTCCACCACCGCTCCACTCCTCGGCGTGCCACGCCCCCTTACGTTTCGGTCCAACTAGAAGGAAAGAACAGGAAAGCGCGAGCATCCCCGCACCAGAACTCCGTCGGAAGACGTGCTTTTTGCCAGCTCTCTGCAGGATCAGCTCGACCAGAAAGGAACTTTACTTACAGGCGCGGGCAGAGGTTACCCTCTGCCCTGATCCTCTGTACTGGGCCGTCTGTCCAACTCTCGATCGCTTGTGCCGGATGAGCGGCTCCGTCTGCTCCCCACAGCGTGTCAGTTCCCGTGGCTGCAGAACCAGTTCTCTCTCTTCTTCCCAGCCAGGCTCCTTTTATTTTGGCTCTAATCAGCCTCTGCTGACACCTGTCTGGGTGGCCAATTAGTGCGCCCCGCCTCCCGAGACGACCACCTTCAGTCCAGGGTGTTTGGATTGTCAAAGGGGAAAAGGAAAAAGGAAAAGCAACAACCCCAAAAACAATATACATGCAAAGCAAACAAAAAAAAGCAATAATAATCAACCATAAAAGAAAACAATCATTTTCCCTGTTCAACAAGCTCAACATCCTGAACATTTACAGCCGATAAACATGCTGCTTCACTTTCGAGAGAGTACAAAGAACTGTCAGCTAATTTACAAGAAATAGAAAATATTCAGATTCAAACCATTTTCAAAACTGTTAAAATCTGATAATTGAAGTTATATGTCAAATGCAGATGATGATGAACTTTGGAGCTTTTAGAATAAATATAACCAGAAACATCCAGAAACTTTCTATGTAGAAGAATCTTTTCAGCTCTTGCATCTACAAATCAGTGATGCAATCAGTGACATATTATGATCCTTGTTTATTTTTAGCCAAGTCAAAACAAAAACAAAAAATAGAATTTAATTATTAAAAATTTTGAGTTTTGTTTTGTCTTTAAATAAATTTGTTAAAAAAAGAAGAAAAAAATCAACTGAGGTGAGTGAAAATGAGACATTGAGAAGATATTTGCATGTCAAAAATTTGCCACATATTTTATGTCAGATTATACATTATATCTTGTAATGCTTGTGATGCGCTGCTCTTTCAGGCTAATATGTCACATATTTCATGTCATTTTATTCTTCTTTGACATAACAAAGAAGAATAAAATGAGGCCAGCTGACTGGCAGTTACGTTTTTATTGCATTCATCAAATAAAATTAGAAAACCTAATCAGAGTTTCAGTTTTATAGATTTCAGGGTTGATGTTGGTCTCTGTGAGTCTGTCTCCAGGTTCTGATCCGGTTCTGCTCTAAATGCTCCTCAGGTGAAAACCCAAGCAGAACCTGCAGGATGCCAGCAGGGGGAGCGGTTCTGGTGGGTCTGCTGGTTCTGCTGGTTCTGGTCGGTCTGCTGGTTGCTGCTCTCACCGTCATCTACAGACTCTGTGAGTTCATACTGATGGTTTACTCTTTTTATTGATTTTAATTTCTTGAAGGCCAAAATAAATGTGAATTGTAAGAACATATTTTGTTCTGAATTATTTTGTTTTTAACCCAGTTTCTAATTTTTATTTATTTATTTTTTATCAGCATTTGTCATGTTGGAGACCAACAAAAGTCTTTGAAAATCTAATTTCCATCTTTTCTTTAAACAGCTTTTGATAAAATAAGAACCAATCAAACCATCCAAACCCTGGAGGAGGAGAATGAAGCTCTGAGGAGAAATATCTCAGGTGAGACAGTCAGAGTCTGAAGGTTTCCAGAAGAGTCAGACTGACGGTGTCTTTCAGTCTGGAGATGATCAAATTTCTAAATAAACAGTCAGTGAGTCTCTGCAACATTGCATCAGATTAACATTTGATTATGTTTTAGTCAAGTTCACCAACAAGAAGCCAAAGTGTGAAAATGTTTGTTCATCTGAAAATGACTGACTGAGGTCAAAACTGTTTTCATTTCTCTAAAGAGTTAAAATCCACAGAGCAGCCAACATGTCCACCATGTCTTCCAACTCCTGAAGAACAATGTAAGTCCATGATCTGATCTTTGTCTCATTCTAATGATGTTAAAGAGACATTGATGGACCGACAGAGACAGGAAGTTAGATTGTAGCTGCAGGACAGAAGACGCCTCCTGCTGTCTCCAGATCACACAAACATCTAGAGATTTATTCCTCCTGGTTCACTGAAGTCTTTGTCTTTAAAGGTCTGACATGTCTGAAGTATGAAGCAGGATGGGAGAAACATGGAGGAAACTGTTATTATTTTAACACCATGAGATTCTCCTGGACTGTCAGCAGACGCTCCTGCATGGTTCTGGGATCAGACCTGGTGAAGATCGACAGCAGAGAGGAGCAGGTATGAAACTCTGCTGCAGGTTCAGCTTCTCTATCATTTCATCTCATCATCATGATTCTTCATCTCTGAGACATTTTCATCAATAATCCTGTTCAGATGTTCCTGGTAGGAAGACTGAGAGACTTGATGGAGGACAATGAGGACATGTTCTGGATTGGACTGACGGACCAAAAGGAAGAAGGAAAATGGCTCTGGATGGACGGATCTCCTCTGGATGAAAGGTCTGAATAATGAGACATTGTTTGTTTAAATGTTGTTCTGTGACATTTACCTGATATTTTTCCCCTGCTGTTCTCCAAGTTTGTCGTTCTGGAGTGATAAAGAACCTAACAACAGAAGTAAAGATGGTGCAAGCTCAGCCGACTGTGGGAGGATGGGGAGGAAAAGAGAACATGATGATCTGCAGTCCTGGTTTGATATTTCCTGTTATTATCCTCAGAAATGTATCTGTGAGAAAACAGCTGGACTGAGTTCATGTGTCTGAAGATCATTCAGTCTGTGAACTGATCTGAGTTCGGCTTCAAGAAGCTGCAGCGTTGCTGCTTTTATGAAGATATTGTCATGAAACGTTTGAATTTCCAGACATGTTGAAATTTTATATCTTTCAACAATCAATCATATTCTTGCTTGATTTGCTCTCAAATTAATATTTTGGTTTGAATGCAGAATGTCCTTTGCAAGATATGAAACTATGTAACTTTTAAATATTTGATTATTTCTACTTAATTTGTTCCACATTTTGTCCAATAAAATAAATTTTATGGCAACATTTTGGTCCATGTGACAGAAAAACAAAGATTGGCTTTGAAATAAAATAATTTAGAGAACTTTCATAACCTCTGCTAATATTTGCTGCAATGTTTATTAAAAATGTGGTAATAATTGAATAAATGTTTTAAAAAATCTTTAAAAAGTGTTTATTTATTTTATATAGGCGACCTAATTTTAATGACTTAGTTTTTACAGTGTCCATCCTGCCCCCTAGTGGCCAGGCAGTGTCTGCTCCCTCAGTCTGAAGCTGCTCTGCTGACCTCCATGTTCTGACTGGTTTCCCTTCTGGTTCTGGTTCTGTACCAGTGGGCTCGTCTCACCAAATAAAGATGTTTTCTTATTACTGTTTTCTGCTTTGTGGTAATAAGTTATTATTATTTATAATAACTGATTGCTATTAAAAACTGAATTTGCCTGAAGTTTATCTAATATCTATTTTCATGTTTATAAAGTAAATGCATTTGTCTTGTGGTTTAGATGAATGGAGCTGAAAATATTCCATATCTCAGTATCTCAGTTTTTAAATGTAATAAACTGTTGATATTTATGTGTTTTTACTGCAGACGGGGCAGTCTGCAATGCACCACTTGGTTCCCTTCTGGTTTCTACAGAGTTTCTTCTTGTGCTGCTCTGATTATCGTCTCTGGGCTGTTTGTCCATCCAGACTTTAACAGACATCTGGGTAGCAGCTACTTCCTCTATCTGCCATGCAGCTGCTTATTTTTATTAGTATTTCTTCTGGTGTTTTTTCTTCTTCTTCTCTTTTAATAAACATGTGAAACAGTTCAGTTCCCTGTTTCTCATTTGACATGAGAAAGTCTGAGAAACAAAAGCAAACTTTTTAAATCTGTGCATAAAAACAAGTTGTGTTATTTATGTCTTTCAAAAAATAAACTGCATTCCAGAAACTAAAAACTTACAGAAATGAATCTGTTTGATTCATGGCCACATTCTTGACCTTTAATATGAAAATCCAAGTTTGATTTGAAAACAATAAAACCAACTTTAGATGCTTCTCAGCTCCAGAAAACCTTTCAGATTTATTTTACTGTCAGACTTTGTATAAAAATGTAAATAATCTGTCCAGGTGTGCAGCTGAGTCACTTGGGAAATGAAAACTGAACTCTAATAATTAAAATCTATTTAATTATGCATAAATAACAGTCTATTTATCAATCAAGTAATGTGATTGATAAATAGACTTTCATTATGCAGCTTTTCAAAGTCAAACCTCTTCCTTCAGTTTCATGAGGAAGTTTAATCAACACAAAGCAGCTAAATCTGAAGATCTGGATCTTATTGTGTCTCCGGCGTCGACAGAGGAAACGTCGAAACGTTGATGGTGAGTTTACATCGTTTTTCTTCCAATGGAAAATCTGAGGAGAAAAAAATCATTTAGCTGGAAAAATATGAGATATTGTTTCATCTTTGGCTCAATTTTGTGCGGTTTGGTTCTTTTAGGTGTTAATGAAGCAAATATTCACATGTTTTTAAATATATTTCCTGGGATTATGATCAAAAAAGCCTCTTACATTTTATCATTTATCTTTGTGTTGTGTATGGAAAGCACTGAGGATTATAGATCAGTGATTTCACAGCCTAAAAACTGATTTGTTGATGTAAATTTTGAGGTTCATGTTTGCAGAAACTCGGTTTTCTAGAAAAGACGAACAAAATAAACATATTAAAGGTCAAAGGTCATTTCTTTAATTCTGCTTGTCAGAATAAAGTTTCCCCGTGATGAGACGTCCAAAGAGCGAAGAAGAAGGAAACGCAGCAGGTTGGTGATGAACACACACACACACACACCCACACACACAAACACACACACACACACAGACACACACACACACACACACACACACACACACACACACCTACACACACACACACACACACACACACAGACACACACACACACACACACAGACACACACACACACAGACACACACACACACACACACACACACAGACACACACACACACACACCTACACACACACACACACAGACACAACACACACACACACACACACACACACACAGACACACACACACACACAGACACACACATACACACACAGACACACACACACACGCGCACACACACACACACAGACACACCCACACACACACACACAGACACACACACCCCAGACACACACACACACACACACACACATGAATTTATATATATATATATATATATATATATATATATATATATATATATATATATATATATATAAATATATATATATATATATATATATATATTTATAGCTAGATAGATCTATCTATTTATCTATACATATATATATAGTTTTCAAATCGTTTCCGATTAGTTTTGGTTCAGACTTATAAAAGTCTGTTTTTGTTCCATGTTTTTACATTTTCTTTGTCCAAATCTGCCTTTAATGAATAAATGTGGTTGTCTTATTTTCTGTTTCGAGTTAGCAATAAAAATGTTGAAATAGATGAATTTGAGCAGTGATGTTGGTGAATGTGGGGGAAGCCGGAGCGCCCGGAGTGAACCCACACCTACACGGGGAGACATTTCCCCCCGTGCAGTCCTGGCTTTTTAATATTAAAATGTCCAATTAACATCATCTGAACCTCTTTATCCAATTATTCCCAATCAGCCAGCTTTGAAATTTAATGTGCTGGAGACATAATTTCATGTCTACAGTGGATGGACTTTATTTCTGTTTGTGAATTTCCGCAGAAGTGACGGAGATACAGCCTTCCTAAATCGTTTCCACAGAGATAATTTTTTCATGGGTCTTTCTTGATCACAGTTATCCTTCTCCTCAGCTGACTCTTCTGCAGCATGAGTCTCTGAGTCCTGACTTGATGTTTGTATTGTATCTTCATTTAATGTGACATTTCTCTGTGGAGGTGATGTTCTCTGGTCTCTCTCTGGTCTCTGGTCTCTCTCCCCTTCTGTCCCCATTTCTGCAGAAGTCGTCTGGGGGATCTCTGCTACTATGTCTAAATAATTTCTTGGTATTTTAGTGTCTTCAATCAACTTGTTATTCGTCTCCACTGGGATGACAACAGCTTCCATTTCAGCTCTCATTGTCATCTGCTTTTTTTTCTGACATTTAGATTCAGTCAATTCTTCTGAAATGATCTGCTGAATGATCACTTCTTTAGTTAGAATCTGGTTTATAACAGAGGCTGTCTGAAGCCTTCTGCTTCTGAAACTCCCTGTTTACTGCTTGCTCCAGAAACCCTGTCATTATTTAAGGTTTCCAATTCAAAGCCAGGTTTCTTTGTCGATTCTATTCTGTTTTGACTTGTAGATATCTTGTACAGCTTTTTCTGCCCATCCTGGTACCCATTCAGATCAGCCCACTGAGTTTCAGAGGGCTGATCTCTTAGAAATAAAAATATCTCAACTTGCCTAAAAATTGTTTGTCGGACTGGTTTGAGGCGGCATCTAGTGTCCAACACATGAATCTCAACTTGCCTAAAATTGTTTGTCGGACTGGTTTGAGGCGGCATCTGGTGTCCAACACATGTATCTCAGGTTGCGTATAAAGTGTTTGTCGGACTGGTTGCAGGCGGCATCCAGTGTCCAACACATGAATCTCAACTTGCCTAAAAATTGTTTGTCGGACTGGTTTCAGATGGTATCTATTGTCCAACACATGTATCTCAACTTGCCTAAAAAGTGTTTGTAGGACTGGTTTGAGGCGGCATCTAGTGTCCAACACATGTATTTCAGCTTGCATAGAAAGTGTTTGTCGAACTGGTTTCAGATGGTATCTAGTGTCCAACACATGTATTTCAGCTTGCATAGAAAGTGTTTGTCGGACTGGTTTCAGAGGGTATCTAGTGTCCAACACGTGTATAGCAGGTTGCATAGAAAGTGTTTGTCGAACTGGTTGCAGGCGGCATCTAGTGTCCAACACATGAATCTCAACTTGCCTAAAAATTGTTTGTCGGACTGGTTTGAGGCGGCATCTAGTGTCCAACACATGTATCCTAGGTTGCATAGAAAGTGTTTGAGGGACTAGCTTCAACTGATTGCTGGTTTCTTGTGCGTCTTGCTCTGTTTCCATTGCAGCAGACTTGTGATCAACTGTTTGTGGGCGATTTTCTGACTCTGTCTGAGTTTCAACAGAAATCATTGGACTCTTTCTTCGTCTTCTTACGGACAGTATTTTCCTCATCATGTCTTTCTGTTTTTTAATTTCAGCAGTTAGTTTCTTATTTATGGCAGACATCTCATCAAGTTGTTTCATGAGGTACTTCTGTACTGCAATATGGACCAGTTGAAATTCCATCAATTTGGCTACACACTCACACTTTGGATGACTTGTTGCCTTTTCAGAGGGGTAGGAAGCATTTTGGGTACCAATGATATCAGGGAAAAAGCTGACATCTACATGAGGCTCTGAGTCGGGGAGCGTTTTCCAAAATGTCTTTGGTCCGCTGCTGGGCAAAGTTACCTGATGACTTTGTTGTTCTGCCAGAGGACCATTACTGATGTCTTCATTTCCAGCAAAAAACGACAGATCAATGCAAGCACCTTCCTCGGGGAAGGATTTCCACAACAGTGGGGTCCTCTGGTTGCGCTTACTTTTAGAAAGGTGTTTCTCCCCTTTTTGATTGACTTTCCTCAGTGAGCTGGAGATGTTTTGATCTTCGGCGTCCGGCTGTGTGGTAGAGATCGCCGTGCTGTCAGGAAATCTTTCCTCTTTCAAGGATGCGCCTTCGTCACGTTCTTGTGAAACCATTGAAAGATTTTTTGTTCCAATGATATCAGGGAAAAAGGTGACATCTACATGAGGCTCTGAGTCTGGGAGCATTTTCCAAAATGTCTTTGGTCCGCTGCTGGGCAAAGCTGCATGATTACTTTGTTGTTCTGCCAGGGGACCATTACTGATGTCATCATTATCAGCAAAAAACGACAGATCAATGCAAGCACCTTCCTCAGGGAAGGATTTCCACAAAAGTGGGGTCCTCTTGTTGCGCTTAGTCTTAGAAAGGTGTTTGTCCCCTTTTTGATTAACTTTCTTTAGTGAGCTGGAGATGCTTTGCTCTTCGGCGTCCGGCTGTGTGGTAGAGATCGCCGTGCTGTCAGGAAAACTTTCCTCTTTCAAGGAAACGCCTTCGTCACGTTCTTGTGGAGCCATTGAAACATTTTGGGTACCAATGATATCAGGGAAAAAGCTGACATCTACATGAGGCTCTGAGTCGGGGAGCGTTTTCCAAAATGTCTTTGGTCCGCTGCTGGGCAAAGCTGCCTGATGACTTTGTTGTTCTGCCAGGGGACCTTTACTAGTGTCATCATTATCAGCAAAAAACGACAGATCAATGCAAGCAGCTTCCTCGGGGAAGGATTTCCACAACAGTGGGGTCCTCTGGTTGCGCTTACTCTTAGATAGCTGTTTGTCCCCTTTTAGATTGACTTTCTTTAGTGAGCTGGAGATGTTTTGCTCTTTGGCGTCCGGCTGTGTGGTAGAGATCGCCGTGCTGTCAGGAAAACTTTCCTCCTTCAAGGAAATGCCTTCGTCACATTCTTGTGAAACCATTGAAAGATTTTTTGTTCCAATGATATCAGGGAAAAAGGTGACATCTACATGAGGCTCTGAGTCAGGGAGCGTTTTCCAAAATGTCTTTGGTCCGCTGCTGGGCAAAGCTGCATGATGACATTGTTGTTCTGCCAGGGGACCATTACTGATATCATCATTTCCAGCAAAAATCGAAAGATCAATGCAAGCACCTTCCTCGGGGAAGGATTTCCACAACAGTGGGGTCCTCTTGTTGCGCTTAGTCTTAGAAAGGTGTTTGTCCCCTTTTTGATTAACTTTCTTTAGTGAGCTGGAGATGTTTTTGCTCTTTGGCGTCCAGCTGTGTGGTAGAGATCGCCGTGCTGTCAGGAAAACTTTCCTCTTTCAAGGAAATGCCTTCGTCACATTCTTGTGGAGCCATTGAAACATTTTGGGTACCAATGATATCAGGAAAAAGCTGACATCTACATGAGGCTCTGAGTCGGGGAGCGTTTTCCAAAATGTCTTTGGTCCACTGCTGGCAAAGTTACCTGATGACTTTGTTGTTCTGCCAGGGGACCATTACTGATGTCATCATTTCCAGCAATAAACGAAAGATCAATGCAAGCACCTTCCTCCGGGAAGGATTTCCACAACAATGGGGTTCTCTTGTTGCGCTTACTCTTAGAAAGGTGTTTGTCCCCTTTGTCATCTACTGTCTCCAGTGTGTTGGTGATTGGTTCTTTTTCAGCTGGCATTGAAGAGTCCTGCAGTTCGATATTCTCGGCAGACTTCTTCAGCTCCTCAGCTGCGTGCAGCTCCCACCACACTGCAAATGACATCTTCTTCTTTTTGCGCTTGGGTGGCTTGGGTGGTTGTAACTCCCTTTCCACGATGTTGTCGGATGCGACCTCTTCTACTGTCTGTTGGTTGGACTGCATTGTATCCTTTTGTTGATTCGGGTTGTTAATTAAAATCACTTTTCTAGAATCGGTAAAATTTCAAGTTAAGTTTGATGTCAATCTCCTAAAGAAATGAGCACCAAACAAGTTGAAGATCTTACTGTGAACTGCTAAACAAACTCTCAAGACGAACGTATCACCAACGGCTGCTAACAGGTTGTGACATCAGTAGATCGATGTGAGGAACTTTTATAATCGCTGGTGATGTCAGAATTCTGCCTTTGGAGTCACATTGTGATGTCATAGTTTCAGAAAATGTCAGTGGGCTTTTAAACTGTCACTGGTTGCCATAGTTATCAGTGACTATGGTAACCATGGCAGGTGAGGCAGGTAAGGCAGAGCCTCACCTGTAATAATGGAAAAATATGATAAATAATTTATATTGCTATTTTCCCCCTGCCAACATAATAATAGTATAGTTTTAAAAAAACTTTCTGAATATATATATATATATATAATATATATATATATATATATATATATATATATATATATATATATATATATATATATATATATATATATATATATATATACTTCTCTCAGCTAATTACAACGGCTGAGTGAAGTACCATCAGAAAGTCTCATTGAGAATGTGAATGCAGCATTGAGAACGATCCCTACCAACACCATAACAGAAACCAATGAGCTGATCTACAACTCAGCATCAGTGATCCTTGAGATACTTGGCTATAAGAGCAACCATGAGACCCAATACCCACCATGGAAAAGACGGTTAGAGGCTAAAATAAGGTAACAAGGAGGGAAGTGAGCCAACTGTCAGAGCTCCACAAGGGTACAATGAAAAGACCAGTACCCAGAAAGTACAGGCAGATGCTCATACCTGAAGCACTTGAAACTGCCAAACAAAGGCTCCAAGCCTTGGCCAGCGCCTAAAGAGATACACAAGGGAGAATGAATCCAGAAGGATTAACCGGCTCTTCTCCACTCAACCAGCTAAGGTGTACTCTCAATGGCAGGGTAATAACAACAGAGCAGACCCACCAAGGCTGGAGACTGAACAATACTGGAAAGGCATATGGAAAGGGAGGCGTCCCACAACAGCAATGCACAGTGGCTGATCTCTCTACGAGAGGACCACAGCAACCTCCCTGAGCAAGCCCGGTAACCATCACTGTGACAGATGTCCAAGAAAGAGTCTCAGGTATGAAAAACTGGACAGCACCAGGGCCTGACATGATCCATGCCTACTGGCTAAAGAAACTCACTGCTCTCCATGAGCGACTGGCAGCCCAAATGAACCAGCTGCTACAAAGTGGGACTCACCCTGAATGGTTAACTGAAGGGCGGACAATCCTAATCCAGAAGGATCCATCAAAGGGTCCAGTCCCACCCAACTACCGACCAATAACCTGCCTCTCCACAACCTGGAAGCTCATGTCAGGCATCATAGCGGCCAAGATAAGCAAACACATGGATAAACACATGAGCACGGCACAGAAGGGTATCGGTGTAAATAGCAGAAGAGCCAAACAGCAACTCCTCATAGACCGCACAGTTGCCAGAGACTGCAAAACCCGACACACCAACCTGTGCATGGCTTGGATCGATTACAAGAAAGCCTATGACTCAATGCCGCATACTTGGATCATTGAATGCTTAGAGATGTAAACATCAACAGGACTCTGAGAGCCTTCATTGCAAACTCGATGAAGCTGTGGAAAACCACCCTTGAAGCCAACTGCAAACCACTTGCACAAGTGTCCATCAAATGTGGCATATACCAAGGAGATGCTCTGTCCCCGCTACTGTTCTGCATAGGCCTGAACCCCCTCAGCCAAGTTATCAACAAGACTGGCTACGGATACAGACTCAAAAATGGGGCCAACATCAGTCACCTCCTCTACATGGATGACATCAAGCTGTATGCCAAGAGTGAGCGAGACATCGACTCACTGATCCACACCACCAGGATCTACAGCACTGACATTGGAATGTCATTCGGACTAGAGAAGTGTGGTCGGCTGATCACAAAGAGGGGGAAGGTGATCCGCACAGAAGGAGTCTCACTCCCACAAGGAACAATAGCAGACATAGAGGACAGTTACAAGTACCTAGGTATACCACAAGCAAATGGCAACCTTGATGAGGCCACAAGGAAAGGAGCCACAGCTAAATACCTCCAACGAATAAGGCAAGTCCTGAGAAGCCAGCTCAATGGCAAGAACAAAATCCGTGCGATAAACAGCTATGCCCTGCCAGTAATCAGATACTGCTGGAATAATTAGCTGCCAAAGGAGGAGATAAAAGCCACAGATATTAAGACTAGAAAGCTACTAACCATGCATGGAGGGTTCCATCCCAAATCCAGCACCCTGAGACTGTACACTTTATTTAGGCAATTCATTTTAAATAGGTCACAATCCATCACAGAAATGATTAAGCATTATTAATAAATGGCCAGTGTTTCTGTGGCTGGTGGGCTCTCACAGCTCTGTGACGTGATGTGATTGTAAAAATCTCTGACTGTGAACATTTCAAACTCAATTTCAGATAAATGGGGGAAAAAAATCCTGTATGAAGTGAAAACTGCAGGTTCTCATCTTTAAATAAATATAAATGAAATCATTTTAACATGGCTGAAGGTTAACAGTCTTGAATTGAAGAAGTTTTGATGAATAAATTCAGATTATGGATGTGGGAGGAGGCAGCAGGTGAAGATAATCTTAGAGGCAACAGGAAGCTGCACAGGATATAAGATATGAACATTTTTATGATAACTATCATTCTGTTCTGCCTGCAGAGGACAGACAACACATTTATGGTGAGTTTTAAAACTTTTATTCTGACTGACACTTTATTGTCACTTTGTTTAAAATCTTGGATTTAATCTGATAATATTACGTTTGGACCCAGAAAATATTCAGAACTCATAAAACAAAAGACTGAATGAATAACTGATTAAATTTTCAGATGAATTTTTCAGCTTTTCTCATCTATCTGTGCGTCACCGTAAAAAGTTGACGCACAACTTTTTGCGTCAACAAAAGTTGTGCTAGTTACTTTTCTGCTAGCAACTAGCAGAGAAGGACTGCTAGTAACTAGTAACTGTTGAAGCTGCAGCAGGTTAGCCTGTCGACCAGCAGCTGTGCTTCCTGATGTGGGTTTTGTGTGCAGCTCGTCTGGAGCCACAGCAGCTCCCAGGAGCATCACTTCATCACAGGTCCAACCAGTTACAGCCTCCTGGGGGAGAGGGCGCCCTCTGCCGGCTGCAGTGCGTACAGCATGCTGCTGTTTCTTGTATTGCAGTTTTTTTCATGACTTCAACTCGAAAGGTGTTTGCCCGAGGTACCAAACAGACTGGGAGCGCTCCTGGGAGCTGCTGTGAGCAAATGTTAATGTTTGTTTTTATTGAGAACATGCTGCTGCACTGTCAATTTATTCCTGGCAAAACATCGTCTTCAACACCTTTAAACAAAGATAATTATTAATAATAAGAAATAAACTGCAGTTAGATGTGAAATGATAAACTTGATGATAATGAATTAGAAAATCTGTGATTCTTTTATTAGCGTTGGAGTGAAGCGTCTGCATGATGAATCGTCCGCAGAATCCTGAAGAAGGTGAGAATGAAGTCAAATTTATTTCAAGTCATATTTGATACATGGAGCATTTTCACACCTGAAGGCAACATATGCAACCCTTCTTTGTCCAATCCAGAAGATTTTTCCCCTATACATTAAATTAAATAAATAACCCCAAACAAACTACTAAGCAGCAGCTCCCCATCAGCAGTTAACATAAGTAAAATTAAACATAGCTAAATGGATAATATTAATGATGATTAAAGTTAAAAACACATGCAAAACATGGCAAAAACTGCATGTTATCAAATTTGTCTAAAATTTATGTTAGAATATAATACCAGAAAAGAAAAGACAGAGCTGACTGTAATACTTACCACAGTCACAGACAGCAGCAGAGGAAGAGCCGTCATGGAGTCAATCACTGGAACAACCAAACCAGTATGGATAACTGGGAACTGAGGGACTTTAGGGAAGATTGACATTAATAATTTACCAGAACTAAAATGTTCTGTGTGGATCTTGTCAACCAGTCTCTCAACGCAATTGATCAAATTTACCTTTTAATTCTTGTAAGGCACTTTTATTGCCTTGTTGCTGGAAATGTGCTATAAAATAAAATAACCTGCTTTACCTGTCAAGTGCAGCAAAACAGATTTTAAAACTTCAGTTAATTTCCAAAGAAATAACTTGTTGATTAAACAAAATTAATTCAAAGAGTAAACAAATAATAAACTTCACAATTATGAAAGTTAATTTAGAGTTCTGCTCTAAATGCTCCTCAGGTGAAAACCCAAGCAGAACCTCCAAGCCGCCAGCAGGGGGAGCAGTTCTGCTGATTCTGGGATCTCTGCTGGCTGTGACTTTTGTCATCATCTACAGACTTTGTGAGTTCATCCTGATGAAACAGTTTTTCACTGAATGTAATTCTTGAAGGTCAAAGGAACAGACAGATGATCGGTGCGAATACGTTGACTGAATTCTGTCTTGAACTTTTGTCTCTCTCTTTCTTCAGCGTTTGTTGTTGTGCATAACAGAGAAAGTTTCCAAACCCTGGAGGAGGAGAATGAAGCTCTGAGGAGAAATATCTCAGGTGAGACAGTCAGAGTCTGAAGGTTTCCAGAAGAGTCAGACTGACGGTGTCTTTCAGTCTGGAGATGATCAAATTTCTAAATAAACAGTCAGTGAGTCT